CAAGCCCTGAAAGGTCCATTTTAGTCATAGTCTAATCCTAACCCTCAGGCATTGCAAAGTCAAACCATCATGAAACCATGACTCAGTAGCAGCATTTTAACATTCTTATATGGTCCATCCACCTTTCCATTTTTTTTAGAGCGCTAATCCTCATTATGGACACGGGTGAGATGGAGCCTGTCCTAGCTGACTTTGGGCAAAAGGTGGCATTTACCCTGGACTGGTCACCAGCAAATCACATATAGACAAACAAGCATTGGTCAAAGTCAATTTAGAATATAGGTATCAAAGTCACGGCCCGGGGGCCAGATATGGCCCGCCACAGCATTTTATGTGGCCCGCGAAAGCAATTCAAGCATGTCAATTTCCATGATGCTTGCTAAAGTCTGAACCAAAATTTTGAATTGTCATATATAATGTAATAATTTTCATGTTTGAGCAATCCATTATTCTTGACTTCTGATGTCAAAACTAGTTATTCATCTATTTGTTGTTCGCTGTGTATGTAATATGTGGAGGTGGTTAAACATTTACAGAATATGGTTTTACAAAATTCACAGTCATAACGGCCCTCCAAGAGAATCCGTAATTACAATGTGGCCCGTGACAAAAATGCGTTTGACACCACTAATTTAGAAGCTTCAATGAACCTAACATCTTGGAGTACCCGAAGAAAACAAGCAAATCCACACAAGCAAGCGAGAGCTGAGATATAAACCCCGAACTCCACAAGTGTGAAGCAGGAGTTTTAAATACAAGTTGAACATGCTTTATTCTAAAAGGTCATACAAGTAAGAAAAAGAAACAGTTTTCCCCAGAGTCACTCATAGTATAGTGGTTCATTCGCCTGACCTTACTGCAGCAGGTAACAGCATGAATTCAGTTCCCACTCAGTGATGGTGTAAATGTGAGTCTGTATCGTTGTCTGTCACTATACAGTATGGGTGCCCAGTGATTGGTTGGCCACCAATCCTGGGTGTAGTGTAGCATGTTTCCTGTCACACTTGTGTGGGTTTTCTCTGGGCACTCCGGTTTCTTCCCACATTCCAAAAACATACATGTTGAATCCGCCGTACACCGAGCAATGTGACCAAACACGACTAAAGTGGACCAGTGTGAAAAAAACTACAGTTGGCAACGTTTCACCCCACACTGAGAGATTAAGCACTGCTCATCTACTGAAGCACTGCAATGGGAAAACAGTGACCCTGTTTTGGAGTTTGAGGCTCAACATGCAATATACTCAAAGTCTTTTTTTTTTTCCAATTGTACCACAAAAACACAGCGTGATTGTCAAGAAAGAAACAAATTGCAACAAAGAGAGAAAACAGGCAACGATAAATACAATAAGTGGTGTGAATAGAAGTTGGCAGACTCTTACTAGCACACATAGGTACATATGGAATTACACTTATTGTTCCAAAAAAATATATATACATATCTCGAAAGTTCAGTCAGGTTCGGAGTGCCATCAAGGAGGGCACACATTTTCTACGTGATGTTGGATCCATTTTAAATTGTTTAACTTAGGAAATTACACTGCAGTTTATTTTTTCAAAATCCACTTTTAAATTTGATGCTCGTAGCACTTCAGCTCTGATTGCTTGAAAAAAAAAAGTTAGTCACACTGTGCACAGTCATGGATGAATTGGTTTTATCAATTAAAGCTTTCAAGGAAGGATACAGAAGCTTTCCAGGCACATCAGAGGTTTGAGTTCACGCTCTCGTATGGGATAGCAGAAGGCCTGCTTCGGGTGAGTATCATTCTCTGAGGTTTTTGCAGAGTGACGGCGAGAGCCAAAAAGGCCTGCAAAGGAGGACCAAGAGGAGGGAGAGAGAGCGAGCGAGAGAGGAGGTTGACCCTGGAGGTTGCAGTCCCCTTTAAAAGTCCCATCTCGCTTGGATACGCAGAGCTCATGCAGGATCTGCTGCGGCACTAGGGGAACACTGCTGAGCTGTGCACTTTGGGCTGCCAGCAAGCGTGCAAAGGAAAGGAAGGCAGGGAGGGAGGGGGTGCTCACAGAAGGAGGAGGGGGGGAGGAAAGAGAAAGAGAGAGAGAGAGAGAGAGAGAGAGAGAGAGTGCAAACAATGTCATTTTGTTCAGGAGGTAATGCTGCAGTCAACTTGCAGCACCACGAGGGCACATCATCACACCGAGGGGCTCGCCGAAGTTTTCCCTGCTTCGTCGTTGCTGATGAAACCCGACACTCGTCTGCAGGTACGCATTTCACACCTCTCATATGCTTTCTGCTTGCATCTCCGCATCCATCCTACACTTTTGAAACCGGCCTCGCAGCAGATGACATAAGTACATGCATGCCTACCATCTCATCACTTTCCGCCTCCTCTGCACCACCGGGCTGTCGTCAGCCAGATGGCTCGCCAGCCAGCTGCGCTCCTCTGTTCTCTCGTCCATGTTTAACACATGCTACTGGCTTGAAATAGCAACCGGCATGCCTGCTGAAAGGGTTCCCCTTTGAAATAAGAAGTTCAGAATGCCTAAATAGTTCAGACTTTTGAGAGAGAACAATCCACGTTTTCTACTTTTTGAAGGTTTCCTTTTGACAGTTTGCCCTACTAAAACGGATGCATGAGTGCTTACAAGGCCGGTCAGAGAGTGAGGCTATAGTATCCTGCATGGGACAGGGGAGCTGTGGTGCAGTCATGAAGTTTAGCGCTACTACTACTTTTCTGTAAAGACAGCTCCCTTCATGCTTACCGGAAAAAGTAATCATGCAATTCTGTATTGGATTTGACTATAGAAATAAAAACCTGTCGAGTCTTCAAATTGCATACGTCTTTTAATCCACAAAATACAAGCTGTTCTCCAAGATAGCCTCATTGGTCACATATGACACTTCCAGAGAAGCAAAATTTGAACATGCAGCTTTTTACAGAGTGAGTCCTGCCAGCTCAGCATGCCAGTCGACTCTACACTGAGTTCATGTCAGGTAACTGTGCTAAGTCCTTGGAAAGAGTCGTCAGGCGGCTCTGTGTGAAACACACACCTCCAGAGAGATCTCTCCTTACTGTACCAGGATGAAGGCGTAGGGGGGAAAAAAGCTAACTTTAGTTTTATTCCAAAAAAAAAAAAAATTGTCCAACACCACATCTGGCGCCTGACATCATCAAGGAACATCCGCAGTTTCCCCTGCTCATACTTCCAACAGAGACGGATGCAAGGGGATTCTGCCGCACTCACCTGATATTCCTTACACCCCCTCCCCCATTTCTCTTTTCCTTCCATCTCTACTTTCTAGTGTCTCTCAGAGGTACAGTAGCCCAGCACAGCGACTTACCGGCATGCTTTCCAACCTTACAATTCTCCCCCTCCGCCCCTCCCCTGCTGAAAAAGTATGCAGCACTTGCACTCATCATCACCATCCTCCTCCTTGAGCAATTTGCCTGAGTGAGGAGGAGAGGAGGGAGAGAGCAGCAGTGCAGCAATCCTGCAATGCCCTACAGCATCAGCTGACTTCCTGCAGTGCTGACACACACACATGCACGCACACACTGCAGGTAGACTACCTCACTGCAATTGGGACCTTTACCTGAGTTTGTAGACAAGAGCCACACACACACAGGTACTTATACCCCCCCCCCCCACACCTTGGGATGGTGCATTGTCCCATTCCAGCACTCCAGTTGCGATGATGTAATCAATGCAGCAAGCTTTGAACTTGCTGGGCTGTGAGTTCCTCTCTCCTTGCCCCCCTCTACTCTAGCAATGTCCCATCAAATACAATAAATAAATAATAATAGCAAGAAAGAGTTCCCATAATGCTCGTCCATGTTTTACCCAAACAGTTGATGCTTGCGTCCATTTTGGAACAACTGTGTTCAAAAAAAAAAAAAGAAAAAGAAAAAGTCAGAATTTGGCCAGTGCAGTGCGGTGCAGCGTTTTATCACTGGCTCCAATAAAAGACAGCAGTGGTCTGCAGACAAAATCATCCTTTTTTTCAGCATCCATTCCATTTCCTGTCAGCATGGAAAAGATAAACAACTGTGCAGTGCTAAAAGTGCTTTCTGGGCACAAGATCAGTGACTTGGCTCTCGCTTTGATAAAGGTCATCATCAGTCTGCTGCCTGATGCAGTGAACAGAAACGTGCACTCGGCCACTTCCAGGATGCTCGGGGAGCCAGACTGAGCATATTGTTGCAGGTGAGTTTTGCTGAGCTGGTTCTTGCCGCTGCAACTAGAATCTGCCTAGTGATCAACTTCCACTACAGCATCTGTGATGAACTGGCTTCATCCTCTCAGGATGGGGGTGGAGGTTGGACGCAAGCAGCAGCGCAGCACTGCATAATTAGCCCTCACCGACGCTGATGAATCTGCACATCTGATCGAGGTTTTGTGTGTCAAGTAGGGGGGAGAAAAAAAAAAAGCATGCTCGGCAGATTTGGATATGTCCGTATAATCCGTATCTATCATTGAGTAAGCCTTGTCTGAAATTCCTGTGTCATATAATGCCCTATCATAAATTAGCATACTGCTTCATTACAGCTTTAATGGGCTATTCATTTGACACTATGTCAAAGAGCAAGTTGGCTATTCGGAATGTAAATATACTACTCTGACCGAATTCAGTATTTTACAGGTCATTCATCACAAGACATGTAACTAACTTAAAAAAAACAACCAAAAAACCCCCCAACTAAATTACAGTTTTAATATACTGTATATAAAGTACAACTTACATGGCTCTACTGCCTTGATGTCCATTTCAGTTTTCTTTTTTTTTTTTTTCATTTCATTTCATATACTTGATTGTCCCCAAAGGGAAATTTGGGGACATTCAACTGGTTCTGCAGTTCACAATTTACAGTTTGAGTTACCAAATACGGTTCCATGCAATAAAAAAAAAAAGGCTTTCAAATATACAGTAAGGTCCAAATCTTTGCTAAAATGCAAAAAGTGTAAGCGTAAGACTGCATTTTTTATTGGTTGATTTGTTTTTAGCTGGAAATGATAAGAAATATTGAATTGTAAGACATACTGTTAAATAATAGATATTTATTAAAATAGCTGTATTTTCTTTTTAATTTGACAAAAAAGTTGCACATCCAAAATGATTCACTTCCTCAATACAGGCAATATAATGTTGTAAATGGTGACTCAAAATGGTCCAAAAATTGATATGAGTAATCTTCAATACAACAATGAAATTAGACGAATTACATAATTACCGGAGAACGTTTTTGACGTTTGGGAAAAACAAAAGAAAAACAAACAGAAGAATATGGTGACGTGGATGGCTGTCAATCTACACAGACAATTCCTTTAGCAATTACGTTAGTATTTATTATGTGACAGTAAGTTTAGAAATTATTTATGCAGTTATTCAATGAGGCTAATCATGTTTTTCATGAATACTGTATTTCCAAACACATCTTAGCGTTTTGACACTTTCCTGTGTTACTTCCAAGCAAAAGATACCCATTCAACATAAATCACTTTCCCACATTTGAACAAGTGTGTGAACGACTTTGGCCTTTCCTGTATATATTTACAATACTTTTACAGTTAAATGATAGCACCAGAAAGCCTTTTCTCTTCCTGGTCAAACAAAAAAAAGACAAAAAGGTCATTGCCCGCAGGCAAACAGGAATTCAGTTTTATGGCCGATACCTGTCCAAAGCTCATTACGTTGGCTTTCTGCAACAAATCCGATCTGTTTGTTCAGACATGAAAAATAGGCTACCGGTAGGTATCATCTTAATGTCCTGCGCAGAAATAAAAAGATTCAAATGGTGCATGGAAACCAACTCAAGCAGGCTGAGTCATGCTGGGCCTTTTGGACTACCCTCCCCTCACAGCTCTGTTCCTCCCCTTCTGGTCTAGGAGCAGCCTCGTGCACCAGGCCGGCTGCTGTGCAGGAACATGCCTTGACTTGTTACGGTGGCCAAGTGCAGCAGAGCGAGAGAGACACACACACACAAGTGGCTTTTTAATCAAAGTCTGCAGAACACCTACGGATGACTGGCTGGTACCAAACGTGGACTGAGGAGCTGCTTGCTTTACCGCCTTGGGTGAGTGATTTCAAGTCTCTGACATATAATGTTACAGCCCTCCTGTAAACGTCCGGGTTAAATGTGAAATGGCGAAAGGAGCAAAGCACACAAGCAAAACTCCTCATGATCAAAATTTGGAAAACGGGACACTGAAAGTCCTCACTTTCGCTTCAGGAAAGTACGTGTAAGTTGATCGCTGCAGGGAAATCTTGACCCGCGGTGCTGTTCATGTTGTGAAAGCATCAGCGTCGTGACGCTAAGATGACACCATGGAAACATCTCGAGGTTACTTGCTGCTCACGCACCTATTGGTTTGGTTCTATTTGACACCTCGTGATTTCCACAAGCAGATATAATTTCTCGTACGAGACGGCTGAGCCCATACCATATGGTGACATGAATTACTAACGGTCACTCAATGGTGCGGCAGATTTGTCATTGCTGCAACATTTTGCGGATACACGCCTATGAAAAGGTAATAATACACATCATATGCATGTGTGCTTACCTTGTGGCTGGGCCTCAGCTCTGCCCATTGCAGTATTATTCTCCTCAGTCTCGACTATGCTGCTGCAGTGATCAATTTTCTTGTTGCCCTTAGTTGTCCTTACGATGATCAACAGCCACATGCTAAATTTGGTGGACCTTCGTCATCCACCGCTGCTGTTGTTTGTATAGCGATGCCTCAACTCTGACTGATGTGTTCCGCTTGAATCACTGGACCTAGCAGATAATTAGAGCGCCGTATCTCAAAATCCAATTCTAATTTGCGCTTACTTCTACATCGTTGACAGAAATCAGGACAGATGACAGGATGTGACATCAGACAGTCCAGATTTCTGCCCATAATCACAGACGTTTACGAATTTGATTCAGAGTGCGCAAGTCCTACTTCTTAAGTTTAAAAAAATTGTTGACCCAACAACTTCTCGTGTTCAGGGCTCGCACACTTTGTGAATATGACAATCAATAATTAACAGAATGCATTGTGACATGGGTAAATAAATACGAATGAAACCAACTGACTTCCAATGAAGGCTGCCCTTCACATAAAAAAAAAGTGTGATGACAGCCATAACCAAGGATTTCCAGAATCAAGAGATAGAAATGCACATCGAAGCCTCATGACAGGCTAAGCTGTGTGAATCATGTCTAGTATTATACAATAATATGGCACTGCAGTAAATAGTAATGTCATTGTTAGCTACAAGGTGATTAGATTTCTGCAATAGGATTGGATGAGGGAGCATGACTGTTGTTAGCCAACAATGGAACAAGCGAGTAACAGACAGTGTAAGGATTAGCTTGAACATCATGACAAAGTGTTGAGTATTCGGTATGTTTCTGTAGATAGGCCATGCGAAAAAACAAGAACCACATTACATATGGCAATTCCTCCATTGTGAGACAAATAAAGGTTTTCTTATCTTATTTTATCTTTTCTTATCATACGACTCACAAGCAGAACATTGTCTAAAGCAGGGGTCGGCAACCTGCAGCTCCGGAGCCGCATGCGGCTCTTTCATCCTTACGTTGCGGCTCTGCGAAGTTTGGGAAAATTAGAAATGTCGGATGGAAGTGCATATTATTTGTCTCATAAATATGTATCACTTGTTGTATTCTCTGCCTGTCCACTAGATGGCAGTGTTAAAATACTTTTGGGATGAAAAAGTATGATTTTGGCCTTCTCCAGAGACGTCTGCTAGCACTTGACGTGTGCACAGGCACATTTGACAGGCGGTATGCACGAAAAGCCAGGTTACACCAAAACCGCACAATATTTGTTTGTTCGTTTGTTTCGTTGTAATTGTGAATTGTTAAGATTATTATGAGCTCGAAATATTAAAATAACAAAATTTATATATTGCATTATTTTTCCTTGCTCAAAATGTACGTCACACTCTCCGACAGTCCGGCAAAAAATACGCATTTGGAGTCCTGTCGACCTTCGGATCCACAGATGCATGTGAGAAGCTATTCTCCACCATGAACAACATTAAAAACAAACATCGCTCACCCCCTCACAGACGGCATCTTACAGTCCTGCGTAAAGATGAAGGTGACTTCCTACAGCCCTGATTTGCAGACGCTGTACACAGAGGTTCAGGAGCAGGAGACCCATTAACCAGGTAAAATAAATATTCAAGGAACTTATTTTGCAAATTTTTATTTAATTGTTTAGTGAAATAGTGCTCCCCCCTCCCCCATTGTATTTTAAAATTCAGGTCAAGGCTCCGCTACGCGCTCACGTCATTTTGTATTTGCTGAAAGTTCAGCTCGAGAAGTTACTCGAAGTTCAGCGTTTTAAGTCCTTTGAAAAATACCTTCCACTCTGCAATTTAATTTTTTTTTTTTTGTAAGCCTTCAAAATTTGTTGATTTCATAAACAAAACAAGAAAAAAAAAGTGTTTGCGGCTTCCCGTGGTGTCTTTTCCGTGGAAACCGGGTCCAAATGGCTCTTTGAGTGTAAAAGGTTGCCGACCCCTGGTCTGAAGAATCACACTGTCTGCGCATCCCTGCGCCGTCTCCCCAGGCAAAGCGGTTCTTTCTGTTGAGCTGTGGTCATTGAAGGGACTTTGAGAGGTGGAGGTCAGCGTGTGCGCTGTGAGTGCATCTGCAGTAATCTGCAGTGCACTGTGTATTCTGACACCTTAATCAGAAGCAGGCCATTGACTTTTTGCGTGCATTGCAGCGAGATGTTCTACGGGAGAAAGATATTAAATGGGATGAGTGTGCTGTCCCCAGTACATGTTTGAAATGTGACAATTCAATATGCATCCTGTTTCATTGCCAACGATAGGATGTAAAATGCATATAAATTCCAGAGATTTGTGCGTCTTAGCGAGATGGTTGAGAGCCCATGAAGCAGCCCTTCTCAAGTCCCGGGACGGGGCCCCCCAGGGTGGCAATGTGTTGCGATGTCGCAGGGGTGTGTCTGACCCCAGGGAATGTGCTTTTTTTTCATACGTACATCTACTACAATAGGTTGCATTGGCGCACTCATTGTCAGAGTGTGCGCAGGGAACATCAACAATGTTCATAAAGTTATTTCGCAGATTTTTGTGCGTCTTTAATGTTTATAAGGATCCAATGTTTTGCAGAGGTGAAGTTATAATAATTTTATAGACAAAGGAAACTATTAATAGTCACTGCAGAGCGTTGAGGAGGTGCGAAACATTTTCTTCTTCCTATGGTGGGTGCAAAACAGAAATGAATTGAGAAGCACAAGCATAATGGCAATGAGGCAACCACTTCTTTTGCTCATCCCTGGTTTACACGCATGGAAGGCAAATTGTTGCCGTCCTCCGCTGCTACAGATGGCGTTATGCCCCCTTTGTGCCGTTTCTTTTTTCCCCCCAGTTAGCTTTTAAAATACAAAGTAGCTGGCTGTGAACTGTGACGATAGGCAATCTCAGTATGTTTATATTTTTCACTTCTTTGGACAATGACAATGAACATTATCGGTTTGAAATTCCGGTTAAAACTTAAATGTACAGCAGCAGACGCTACACGTGTCTCCTTGAATTTGCAAATTGTCTTCACTGCGTACATGCTTCAATAGTTCAACTTCTCAACAACAACTACAAGGTACGTTAGCCCAGCTGTTCAAATTTGCATTAATTTCAGCCAGATTAAGGTGTTGAATGTGTCTTAGAAGTCTGGTCTCAATTGGACTCGTCCAATAATTAGATGTTCTCGTATGCTTTGTAAATGACTGCACCACGGGGCCCAGTGTCCCTACGGTCCCGGTACCACAGAACACAGTAGCTTCAAAATACCTGACGAAATGTGTGGTTTAGTAGATTCTCATACCGCCGCTGTCAAGCCATCACAGCGTCACCCTTGTCAAAGTCTCTCACAAAGCTTATGCTGCCCAACACGTCCTGCTTTCAAGGACAAAGAATGAATTTGCTGCTTGATAGATCCTACCAAGTGGTGCCATTGCAATCAGACAATCAGTGTGACAATGAATCAAACTGTGAATGGTTATAGTCTTATGCCTTGACATTCTTTATGCATGTTTGGGAAGGGAAATGAGAAACTCCGCTGCTGGGTTCTGTGACTATAACCACTGAGCTGCGGCACACTTAAATGTTACACAGACATGAGTGGACCTTCTTTTTATGACATGGTAGCAGTCTCCACAAATGAAGAGGGGCTACCGCATAATTACCCTTAAAATGCAATATGTGTTTTCCATTTTTTGCTTATTCTAGACCACGGGTGTCAAACTCAAGGCCCGGGGGCCAAATCTGGCCCGCCACATCATTTTATGTACCTCACAGTGCAGAGGTACCGGGTTCAATTCCAGCTCCAGAATTCCTCCCTGTGTGGGATTTGCATGTTCTCCCCAGGCCTGCGTGGGTTTTTTCCGGGTGCTCCGGTTTCCTCCCACATTCCAAAAATATGCATGGCAGGCTGATTGGACACTCTAAATTGTCCAACTTGTTGTGTGAGTGTGAGCGCGGATGGTTGTTTGTCTCTGTGTGCCCTGCATTTGGCTGGCAACCGATTCAGGGTGTCCCCCGCCTCGTGCCCGAAGACGGCTGAGATAGGCTCCAGCACCCCCCGCGACCCTTGTGAGGATCAAACAGAACAGAATGGATGGATGGATGGATGGATATATCATTCTGCTTTCTGCTGTAGTACTACAAGTGTTGAAACACTAACATCAGTGTCGTAAAGCGACAAGTGTTGTGATGTGGTGGCGGAGGAGCTGGGGGGGGGGGGGGTCACTTTGCACCACTGCCCTGATTCCTTGTCGCCAGCGCCACCGTTATGAATCTTTTAAGAGTAGCAGTGGTCGGATTAGCTAGTGAGGCTAACCGCACCGCATATCCACAATACAGACCTGTGCAGACATAAAAAGACTGAGTTGCCTTACCTGCTGGACATTTTGCTTGCTTCTCCAAAGATAGTCCGGCAACAAATTTTGGACGAATGAATGAACAAATGACAAAAACATTTGGTTGGCGATTGATTGATTGATTAATTGATTGACTAATTAATTAATTAATTAATGCTTTAATCGGCGATTGGGAGTAGTCCCCCCCCCCCCC